AAGAAATCAGCAATTAGCCACACAATTACTGAAGCACCGATTGAAATACTATTCTTTACAAAAAAATTGCATAAAAAAGCAGAGGATGCGATGACGCACACTAAAACGCATAATTACTAAAACTTATTAAAATATGCAAGTTACTGGGAAGGACCTAATTGTGGAATCAAACTAAAGTTGTAACATATAAAATACTTGACACACTACGTAATTTCCTCTAGAGCAACAGCTGACGATAAATGAGAGTTAATTACCATTACAGAGCAATGGGGAAGGACAACGCATCCACGCTTTTCACTTTTCTCACTGAAGGGTCACCGTTTTAAACCTAGATGACAAGGACTGGCATTACTAAATCCAACCAGGCTCCAGAAAAAAAGCGAAAGACCGCAAAAAGCATCGGTGTCGAAAAAAGGCAAAAACCGGATATTACATAGAAATGTAAGAGCCATTAGATGGCTGAATGAAAAATGTCGGTCCAAATGAGGCAGTCGATCTGGATTAACAAAAATTTTTGCTAGACCAAACTTTGCTTCACCAACGGCTTACCACACAATCACCGACGAAAAGCGGACCTAATAAATGCAATTACTGACCAACTGTTCGGATGAAAATACTACTGGCTATCAAATAATCATCGGTACTAATGCTTCACCTGACAATGTATGGCTTGAAAAAAGGAATTACAGATAAACTACACAGATCATGCTAACAAGAGTTACCACTCCAGCTATTTTCCAGTACTTCCGTCTCTCATAGACAGTTAACGTAAGGGAAGGACGGACGGGGGAGAGGCAGGAGGGGGTGGCGGAAGGCTGACTTAACTTTAGACATAATTTACTTATGCGAAAGAAGGAGAAATTTCAAAAATATGCTTGCAGCTGCAACGAAACACAGGAAAACAGGCCTTCCAAAACTTGTCTAACGTTTATAGCTGATTCCAGGAAGAATTAATTCCGGGTGAAATGCTTAATAATTGTCGGTAAAATACCTCAATACAGTCGGGGAGCGACAAATTCCAAAACGAGGTGGTGACGCACAACACACACACACACACACACACACACACACACACACACACACACACACATACATGCATAAGCAGCAGCAGAAAGTGACTAATGAACAGTCAACAAATTCTACGCAAAAAATGTGGTTTGTCCACTACACATTTAACTTAGTTGCTAACTTCTGAGAGTGAGAACCATCTAAAACACTACAGTCCATTACTTAGCAATAAAAAAATAAGTTTTTTTTTTTTTTCTCAAAACTGACCACAGAAGAACATTAACCGTACACAAATATTCTATTTCATGTCACAGATCGGTAGTTTTAAGCACAATTAAAACCAACACCGTCCAGCGTGTCAATTTGGAAATCCCATTTTAGTAACGCCACCCAGATGCTCCTATATGACAGGCGCAATTACATCAAACCCTTCAATTCTGGGCTGCACACCTCCAGTTAGTACCTACTGCCAAAAGTGTTAATATTAGCTGATGAGCCTAGTGCTGTGGCATCAGAGATTGAAAAAAAAACTACAGAAATGAGGAAGATGCTGAAAGGATGAGATTATATGACAGAGAGATTACGAAAATCTACATATTTTCGACTGGTTTTATGAGCGTTTACTGTTCCTTGTAGCAAATTGCCTACTGAGCTTCACACAAAATTCAGTCCCTACACTTCTACTTTTTCCAAAACAATAGCCACTCGGCATGGAATATAAACGAAGAGATGATTTCGTCGTCCAGCATAGCCTTCCGGAAAAGTATGATAGAGCTGCTTTTTTTCCAGCCGACTAAAACCACCAAATTCCGGATCGTCACTGCACAGGGCTAATGTATATCTGAAAGAAAAAAAATGATATAATCATACCATTCTTACGATTTATAAACTAAGAGAATTTTTTATATCATTCTTACGATTTACATATTAAAAATAGTGGATGTTATATCATTCTTACAATAATTTTATTAAAACAAGCTGATTGAAGCATGATTGCAGCATACAAGTGATACTAAGAATTTAAATAGGGCAGAAATAGAACGAACTATGTAGTGATAGATATAGTTGGTGCAGGAAAAATTAGTACGAAAGAGTTAAGACGTTTCGGTCCATTAAGTCATATACGCCTTAGCACAACACCGCCAGCTCAACACCATGACTGGACCTCGTCAATATGACGGTCGCGGTGTTTAGAGATGAGAAGAAAGAACGAAGGAATGGAAGGCAGGAAGAAAGAAGAAGAAAAGAAGATAAGAAAGGGGAGATTTTTTAATTATATCAAATTAAGAATGGTTGAAAAAGATTAAAAAGTTGTAATATAAAACTGGAAAAGTAATTTCACTAATTTTATTAATTTCTTAATTGTCGTTTCGGGACTTTTTCTTCAATTCTCCTTCTTATTTCAGTATACCTTCCTATTACATGCTGTCAAACTTCATCAGTGCAACTCATTCGATGGAGGAAAGTTATGATGAGAACAAGCAATCTGTAAGGAGACTCCTTCTCATATTTTGATCAAATACTGTTTCAACGTCAAGTTAGTCCTCGTCACCGATGAAGCTGGCGATATTTCCATTCTTCTTCATTTCGAGCTTATCCGAACTTTGTTTTTTCACCGTACTGGCAACTTTTCCATGTTCGTTTTAAAAAAAATGCAGACAAAACCCAAAAAAATG